CCTTTATTAGTGTTTGAGTTAAAAACTTAATGCTCTCTCTGTTGCTCAGGCTGGAGTGCAGTGGCATGATCTCAACTCACTGTAACCTCCACCTCCCAGGCTCAACGATCCTCCTGTCTCAGCCTCCCTAGTAGCTGGGACTATAGGCATGCACCAGCACATCCAGCTAATTTTTGTATCTATTGGAGACACAGGGTCCTGCCATGTTGTCCAGGCTGGTCTCCAACTCCTGAGGCAATAATTGGGAGTCCAAGGCGATCTGCCCACCAATTATTTTCTTAAATGCATTTTAAAGCTACGAATTTTCTCCTGACTGCCTCACATAGGTTTTAATATTATTTGCCATGAAATATATTCCACAATGGAATGACAGATAATTAGGATAAGAAATAGCAATTCAATGAGTTATTTAAATATAGGGCTAAGATTTGAATTCTAGCTTACTGGGACCAAAGCTTGTGAAGTCTCAGGGTATGGTTGAATTATAGTGCTCTTGTTATTTCTAACGAGTGTGTAATTTTTATTCTGATATCCCTTTTAACCCATGTGCTTTTTCCTAAGAGTACATCTTAAGGAGGGCATGTTTGATTATTTTATTGTTTTATAATCAGTTAACTATGCCCTGGTCCTATATGGTTTCAGCTTTTCAACACTTGAGACTTAATTTGCCATCTCACTTATGGTCGATTTTTGTCAATAGTCCATGTGAATCTGAAAATAAGGTAACTTTCCTATTTTGAATATAGGATGGCATAGGCATAATTATAGTTATGATTAATCTTATTAACCATGTTCTTCAAATTCTCCATATCCTCAATAAGTTTCAATCAACTGGATCTGTCAATTCCTAAGAAAGGTGTATTAAACTTATCACTGTGATTATTGACTTACATGCACATATGTGTGTGTATCCTTGTTAAATGCAAATAATTCATGGTCATTCCTTAATGGAGCACTACCTTTATGAATATGAGATACCCTTCTAGTGCCATATATAAATGTATTTTTAAACCTTTTTTTTTTTTTTTTTGAGACAGGAACTTGCTCTGTCACCCAGGCTAGAGTGCAAAGGTGCAATCATAGCTAACTGCAGCCTCGACCACCTAGGCTCAAGCAATCCTCCTCCTCAGCCTCCTAAGTAGCTGGGACTACAGGTGCATGTAACCATGCCTGGCTAATATTTTTACTTTTTATAGAGACAGGGGTCTTGTTTTGTTGCCCAGGCTGATCTCGAACTCTTGGCTTCAAATGATCCTCCTGCCTCAGCCTCCCAAAATGCCAGGATTACGTGTGACCCACCATGTAAGCCCATATTTTTCTAACTTCTACAGTAATAGTATCTGTATCCTATTTATTTATAACATAAATCTTACTTAGCCTGTTTTACTTCTCTTCACTCTTGCTCTCCCTACCTCCCTCCTATATCACCTGGAATTGGAATTCCAGGTTTTCTTTTTAACTTTCTAGAACCTAAATTCACTTTGTTTAGCAATATCTTTTACCAAATACATTACCACCGTTGCTTCTGTTATCTCACATCTTCCCTTATGATTTTTTAAATTATTGCTGGAATAGAATTCTGAAAAGTCACCCACACTTAAGTGATAGTTTAATTGAATTCAAGATTGTTTTCCCTCGATTTTAAAAAATAATGCTTCGTGTCTTCTTATATCCAGTGGAGCCCAAATGAGAAGTTGGATGTAAATTTAACTTCCATTTCTTCATAAGCATTTTCCCTGAATATGTTTAGAAATTTCTCTTTGTTCTCAAATTTTGTCACTGTGAATCTAGGTGAGAGTCCTTCTCATCCTGTATGCTCAGAATTTAATAGGACCTTGCAGTCGAAGGATGTATGTATGCATTTAGATCTTGTGAAATATCCTCCTTTTCTCATGACTGTGGTTGCATACTACACAATAGTAGGTTGTACACTACACATTGGCAAATCTTATTATTCAAATGGCATCCCCTGAAATTGTGCAGTACACAATCAGCAAATCTTATTTGGTAGATCTGTATTTTATTTCTTACATGTTCTCAATTCTCCCCTCCTCTCTAACTCCTCATCCTACTAGATGAGTTTAGAATATCTGGATCTATTTTTCATATCATTTAACTTTTCTTTCATTTCTGCATGCATCTTTTTATATGGCTTTGTGGAGGAATTTCTGGCTTATCTTGATCATTGTGAGTGGGGAGAGACTCAAACTATGTGTTTCCTGTGCTTTCACACCACAACACTCAACACAGAAGACTGACCAAATGTGACGGGGGCATGGGTGGGGAAAGGGTCTCCACACAGCAAGCAAGCAGTCAGTTCTGCAGTGGACAGCAGCTGAGTATAACTCCAATTCAATTTTTACACTATTTGTCAGGAGATCCCACAGGTTGAGGGCCAAGTCTACCAGACTGCCCCCACTTTAAATGCCAGTTGCAAGTCTGGGCCTCCAGAACTTCTGACCAACTATTTCCAGGTTGGGATTCCCATGGCTTCCTCCTTTGCATTGGATTAATTTGCTAGCTCCTGAAACTCAGAGAAACACTTGTGTTTACTGATTTATAACAAAAAATACAGATGAAAAGATGCATAAGGGCTCAGCCTCCCAAAGTGCCAGGATTACATGTGTGACCCATATGGGGGAAGGAGCATGGAGCTTCCGTGCACCCCCACTGGGTGCGCCGCCCTTCAGGAACCTCTACATGTTCAGCTATCCAGAAGCTCTCCAAGCCCTGTCCCTTTGGGTCTTTACGGAGGCTCCGTTACATAGGCATCACTGATTAAACCATTGGCCATTGGTGATCAGCTTAACCTTCAGCCCCTCTCCCGTCCCAGGAAGTTGGAGGTGGGCTGAAAGTCCAAACTTTCTAATCCTCCCTTGTTCTTTCTCGTCACCAACCCCCATCCTGAAGCTACCCAGGGGCTGCCAGACATCAGTCAACTCATTAATAAACAAAAAGACATCACTTTAGTGTTTCTAAGGATTTTAGGAGTTGTATGTCAGGAAATGGGGTTGAAGACCAAATATATATTTCATAATAGCACAATCTTTCAGCTTATTTATGTTCTCTTGGCTATATCTATCCTGTTCTGGATTTATCCCTTGTTGAATTTTTACATAAATAACAAAATTTTAAATTTCCAAGGCGTGGGAGCGCCCAGTTACTTGGTACATTTTCCTGCCTCCTTGAATCAAATGACCGCACTCATTGCTGGTGTCAAAGATGTCAGTCACCAGCCAGGCATGGTGATTCACACCTGTAATCCCAGCACTTTGGGAGGCCAAGGTGGGTGGATCCCTTGAGCCCAGGAGTTTGAAACCAGCCTGGGCAAAATGGTGAAACCCTGTCTCTACAAAAAATACAAAAATTAGCTGGTTGTGGTGGTGCATGCCTGTGGTCCCAACTACTCAGGAGACTGAGGTGGGAGGAGAGCTTGAGCCCAGGAGGTTGGGGCTGCAGTAAGCTGAGATCGTGCCACTGCACTCCAGCGTGGGCAATAGAACAAAACCCGGTCTCTAGAAAACAAATAAAAAGACTTCAGTCACCAAGGTAGGAGACGGGCAGATACTCCTGCTGAAGTACCTGAACTGTCATCCTGTCAGCTGCCCCAAGACCAACTTTTGTCTCCTGGTTCCAAAACATGTGGATCATTTTTTGGTCCACTCCTGTCTTCTGCAGAAGTCCTCCTTGGCACTCTTCACTGTTACCCCATCTGCCATCTTTGTCCATTTTTTATCATTTCTAGGAATTTGGGGTAGAATATGAGAAGAAAGCAACATATCTTCAGTACACAATCTTGAATCCGTAGCTATTTTTCACCTGTGCATTAGAGACGGGAAACTTGCAGAGCCCTCGACGGGACTTCCCTACGACCATCAACTAATATTTATTGAATTGGTTATTAGTAGGAAACATTAAGCAATTATCCTTCATAAAAACATTATGAAGTAAGCATTACTATATTCCCAGTTTTAAGATGAGAAAACACAGATTAAAAACACCCTAAAGAGCAGAGCCAGGTTACACACCACGTGGTCCGTCTCAGGAGCCTGCGCTCTTTACTAATACACTATACGATGGCATATCCGGATGATTTTGGGAACACATTATACTTCTAACCTGCCAGGAGGGCCAAATATATTTACTTTGTCATCTCTGTGCTGTAAGGGGCCACATTTCTACCCATCAACTCAATCTACATTACTCAAGCCTGCTTGTAATTCATATGTTATTTCCTCATGCCAGGAACAATAGTCACAGTTCTGTTTTGCTACTCTTTTATCTTTGCGACTCAAATTCCCCCCTCCCCACTATAAATGATTTGCACATACTAGTCTAGAAAGATTTATCTAATATGCCACTTTCCCCCACAGACACATCTCCACAATCATAAGCACCATGAAATAAACTTCTCTTAGACAAATGAAAAATTTTCTTACTTTTTTCCTCCAGGCTAAGGATCAGAATTCAAGTTTTACTTGGTTAACTCTCCAGCTAATCCGAAAGCTGTCTTCTTCTCTATAGATGCTTGCTGTTTCAGGGGGGCAGGTGGGAGTTAAGAATAATTTCCATTACCTAATTCCTTGATACTAATGTGAAAAAATTATGAAAATCAGAGGTCAAACACTTAAAAAGATCCAGGAAAAATCTCCTACAAAGACACTTAAATAAGCAAAATCATCAAATTTTCATAATGCGACAGGGAGAAGATTGAAGAAACCAAAAAAAGCAAGTATGTTCCTTTGCTGGAACTAATCCCATGGCTGATATATACATGTAAGTTAATCAGCATACCTTTCTCCTGCTCATTATTCTATATATAATATGGGTCTTAAGTAACTAAACATTCCAAACTAAATGAAATATAGTTCCAGAGAGAAATTATAAGTAGTTTAAGACTTAACCCTTTGTATTAATCAGAGTTCTCCAGAGGGATAAAACTAATAGGGGAGACATATACCTATATCTATAGATGATAATAGATTAGATATAGATATAGATATATTAAAGGGAGTTTATTAAGGAGAATTGGCTCACATGATTACAAGGCAAAGTCCCACAGTGGGCCGTCTGCAAGCTGAGGAAGAAGCCAGTAGTGGCTCAGTCTGAGTCCAAAAGCCTCAAGAGTGGGGAAGCCCACAGTGCAGACTTCAGTCTGTGGCTGAAAGCCCAAAAGCCTCAGGCCAGCCACTGGTGTTAAGTCCAAGAGTCCAAAGAACCTGGAGTCTCATGCCCAAAGGCAGGAGGAATGGATGGAGGCATCCAGCACAGGAGAGAAATGAAAGCCAGAAGACTCTGCAAGCCAGCTTAGCCCACTTCTTTCTCCTGCTTTGTTCTAGCCACCTGGCAGCCAACTGGATGGTCCCAACCCACATTGAGGGTGAGTCTTCTTCTCCCAGTCCACTGACTAAAATGTTAATCTCCTCTGGCAACACCCTCACAGACACACCGACAAACAATACTTAGCTATCTAGGCATCCTTTAATCCTATCAAATTTATACCTAATATTAACCCATCACATCCTAGAATTTAGAATTTTCTTAAGAACATTGAATGACCCTTGCCTAGGGTTGTATTTGTGCTGTGGCTGAAGTCTGTTTTAGACTCCCTCCTGGCCTAAAGAATTTTCCTTCAATGCATTGAAAAATGTTAATCCCACAAACTAGAAACCAAGACTTTTGCAAAATCAAAACATCATTGAGAAGGCGGGTGTGAGGAAATCAAGCCTTTATCTTTAGATATATTCCATTCCTAGGTGTTAAAAACACTAATATTAAAAAGTGGTATGGATCTCCACCTACCCTCTGGTAATTTGCAGTTATTGCCCTTTGATCATGTAAAGCAACTGAGATCATTTGCTCCTGACTTCACGTCACTAATCTGTATCCTTCATTTTTTGCTCCAAGTGTTGCTTCTTCTGAGTGCCGAGTGCTGCCCAGTACCTAGATTGATCTCTCTCTCTCTCTCTCTCTCTCTCTCTCTCTCTCTCTGTCTCTCAGTATCCAACCAATCCCAAGCTGTATTACCTCTTTACCATCTTTGGGAAAGTGGACCAGTATCCAGGCTTGGATAAGCCAAGGAAAAATACTAAGGAACTGCTTAAAGCTCTAGTAGTTCTTCTACTTTGCTGTTTTTGGCTTTGGCCATCTAAAGCAAAGTTCCTTGGATTGGTTGACAGTGAGATACTCTCTAGATTCTTGTGTCTCTTTTTAGTAGGACCACCTAAAATGTGTCATCCATTGTGTAACGAGTTCTTGACCAAAGAAAAGAAATCTGAAGGTCTTCGGACTCTGTCATCTTCCTTGTTTGCCACTCTTTGGATTGTAATTTGAAGAGAAAAAAAATCTTCCTTGTTTTCTTGCAAAAATGTTGGATGCTGAGTAGTTGGCAAGAACAGTAACTTCAGCTAGAAAATGCTGGAAACAATTTAACAAGCAGAAATGATTAACTCAGAAATCATCGACAGAACTCCACCAACCCCATTTTTAAATTTGTTTAAACATTTCCCAAATTATTTGCACATTCTTCTTTTGGCTGTAAGACATTATTTTCTCTATGCTAGCTAATAGTTTTCCAGATAATTTCTATTCCCTTGACTTGTTCTTATGTTAAATCCTCAAAATTAAGGGCTTTCCGCTCAAAAATCAGAAATAGGAAAGAAGTGTTTAATGAAATGATTTCACTTTTTTCTGAAAGTATTGACGTGAAGTATTAAAAGCATCATCTGATAGAAAAAGAAGGTACTTGCCAAATATTATATCGGCCTTTATAGAGCACTAGTAACAGACACTAGTAACTCAAAGTCTTTTGTTTCCTAATTTATTCTTTTCCTAATAGGCCACGTAGCAGACACTGAAGGTTCTACGTAACAAAGGTCCTACAAGTAAATTGTGAAAATGCCTTACTGGATGGTGTTTCTAGAATACAGAAGGTCTTATTTCCTTAATGCAAGATGCTTAGGGAAGTCACTCTCAAGTCACCAGAAATCTACTAAAGCACCACTTGCTGGAAAATGGAATGTGCTTTGGAAGTACAACAGTGCTCTTGCAAGCACCTTCCTAACCATAACAATAATAAGAGCAACACTGATCAAATATGTACCATGTTTCAGCCACTGTACTAAGTGCTTTGGGTACATTACCTCATTTAATCTTCATATCAAGCCTAGAAGATAGTTTCCACTATTTTTCCCATTTTACAGGGGAATAACTTGAGGATCAATTTGCTGTAAGGAAGTTTATTTATCACAAGTAGTAAAGAAACTTTTCCAAGGTCATACAGTCCTTACGTGGGGAAGCTATACTCAAAGCTGATGTTCATCACCACTACAGGATAGTGCCTTCTCAGCAAGAACTACTCTAACAGTGCTAAGAGGAGAAATGGGCAAGGTGGTAAGAGCCAGAATATCTGTTGTTGATGTTGCAGATTCAGCTCTGAACTTATGACCCTAAAATGATCTCCAACCTCAGCTGCCTGAGATGCCTTCAGCATGATATGTGATCATGTGAAAGCTATGTTATATGTATTATTTTTACTACCTCTTCTGCATCCAGATAGGTAGATTTTTTTCCTCTAGAAAAAAAAAAAAAAAAACAGAAAAGAACTAAGACAAAAAAACAGGAAGATCTTAGCAGAACCAAGGCAGATTAGATTATATTAGCCTTGAAAACGGTGATAGCAATCAGTGATGTTGAACCTGAAATAATTTAAATAATTATCAGCAACTTACCAGAGCTACATTAGTGGACCACTGGGATCTCTCTTATTTGGGTCTCAGTCTTCCATAAAGTGAAGGGACTATAATTGTCCATCTTCAAGGTTCCTTCTAATTGTGACTCATGTATAACCCCTTGACTCTTTTAGGAGATTTCTGGCAGTTAATGTCAATACTACCCTTCATATTGCCTCTGAGTTAGCTTAGGTAAGGTCCTTAAATACCCAATGACTTATACTCTGAGGCTTCTAAACTGTTATGTGGACCTTGGTGGTTGCAACTTCACCCAAATCCTCATTCTGTGTTGTGCTGTCCCTAATTTAGAGGGCACAAGATTTCAAACTCAATTGTTTGTTAAATTCAACTCTTGGAGCTCCACCTGTCATAAATACAACCCCATTTCCCATGTACTCAATTACTTCTGTTTCTCGAATCCATCATTCATCCCAGATATTTAGTGCCTAATGTATTTCAGATATAGTTCTACATAATAGGGATAGAGCAGTGTATGAAACAAAGTACCTACCTTCATAGGACTTATTCTGAGGAGGTAGGAGGGGAGACAAATGTATTACTCAGATATAGTCTAAGTTATTATAACAAATAAGTCTTTTAAAACAGTGGCTTGAATAAGATACAAGTTTATTTATCTCTAATGTAACAGTCCAGGGCTAACAAAGCAGTTCTGCCATCCTCATCGCAGGGCTTCTGCCTCTGGGTCCAAAGTAGTTGCTCCAATTCCTGCCATCACATCTGCACCCCAGCCAGTGCAGAGGGTAAGAGGGCAAGGGCAACATATACATATTCTTTTTTACGGCACAAACTAGAAGTAATATATACAACTTCCATTCACATCTCATTGGCCCCAAACTTTGAACAAACCCAGATGCAAGAGAAGCTGGTAAATTAGGCTTTAATTGAGAAGCCATGCGCCCAGAAAGCAGGGAGTTAAAGTATACAAGGAAAGATCATTTTTATGGATATCAGTCTCATTCAGAAATAAACAAGTAAATAAATACATTAGTATTCAGATGACATATGGAGAAAAATTAAGAAAGTTATGAGAGGCCAGGCACAGTGGCTAACACCTATAATCCCAGCACTTTGGGAGGTCAAGGGAGGGGTGGATCACAAGGTCAGGAGATCGAGACCATCCTGACTAACACAGTGAAACCCCATCTCTACTAAAAATACAAAAAATTATCCGGGTCTGGTGGCAAACACCTGTAGTCCCAGCTACTCGGGAGCGAAGGTTGCAGTGAGCTGAGATTGCACCACTGCACTCCAGCCTGGGCAACAGAGTAAGACTCCATCTCAAAAAAAAAAAAAAAAAAAAGTTATGAGATAAGGAATACCAACAAGTGAGGAAAGAAGAGGAGGGGGCTTGTTATCTTACCTAAGATGTTCAGGGAAGACCTCAATGATAGTTGGTAAGGTAACTTCTGAGCAGAAGCTTACAATAAATTAGGAAGCCAGTCATGCAAATATCTAGGGAAGAGCCTTTTGAGAAGAGGAAATAGCAAGTGCAAACATCCTGAGATAGAAGGGCCTTGATGTAGTCAAGGAAGTACAAGGAGAAAATTATGATGAAATGGAGCAAACTAGGGAGTAGTAAGAGAGAAGGTCAGAGAAGTGAATGTGGGCCTTGATACTGAAGCCATCGGAGGGTTTTCTGTTGGGGAGGAGTAAGGGAATGATATGATCTGACTTATGTTTCAAAAAGTGTACTCTAGCTGCTTTGTGGGAAATACAGGAGGGAGAGCAGAATCAAGGAGGCCATTTAAAAAGCCACTGCAAATATTCAACATGTGGAAGCTTGGAGCAGGGAAACAGTGGTGAAGGTGGTGAGATGTGGTTAGATGCTGGACATATTTTGAGTCAAGAGGATTTTCTGATAAATTGCATATGGAAAATAAGAAAAAGCTTATTCACTCACCACTCTAATAGTCACACCAGTCTATAATCCCAGCACTTCGGGAAGCCAAGGCAGGTGGATCACTTGAGCCCAGGAGTTCAAGACCAACCTGGGCAACATAATGAGACCCCATCTCTACCAAAAAACTCTAAAAATTAGCCAGGCATGGTGGCATGCACTTGTAGTCCCAGCTACTCAGGAAGCTGAGGTGGAATGATCACCTGAGCCTGGGAGGTCAAGGCTGCAATGAACTGTAATCATGCCACTGCACTCCAGACTGGGTGACAGAGCAAGACCCTGTCTGGAAGAAAAAAAAAGGGGGCGGGCATGGTGGTTCACACCTATAATTCCAGCACTTTGGGAGGCAGAGGCAGGCAGATCACCTGAGATTGGGAGTTCGAGACCAGCCTGGCCAAAATGTGAAACCCCACTTCTACAAAAATATAAAAATTAGCTGGGCATGATGGCTGCCATGTGTAATCCCAGCTACTCGGGGGGTTGAGGCAGGAGAATCACTTGAACCCGAGAGACAAAGGATGCAGTGAGCTAAGATTATGCCACTGTACTCCAGCCTGGGTGACAGAGTGAGACTCCATCTCAAAAAAAAGAAGGAAGAGGGAGAGAGAGAGAAAAGAAATAATCATCACACCCCAAGAAAAGACAGCCTCAAGAAAATCAAGCTACGACCATGGTGAACAATGCTCCAAGGGTTTTGTGATGCTGTAAGCTGAGTATGATGGGCATAAATTGTTTTGCACTCTGCAGGTAGGAAGGTGGGATAACCAAAGCTGTTCAATATAATATTAAAAAATAAAATCTCGATTGAAGTAAAATAAAAGTTTTCTTAAGAGATATATTAAAGTAAATGGAAATGTTACAACCTGGATGAGGGGTAAGGAATTAATAACCTCTAATCACAGAATAAAAATGGAATGATTGAGAATTCCATCTACCCAAATCAGACAACTAAAAAGTTGAAAGAGGTTACAGTAAAAATTGGGTAAAACTAAATCTTAAAAAAAAAAAAAAAAAAAAAAAAAAAAAAAAAAAAAAATTCCAGAGGATACATGATATACTCGTCACAAAGAAAATTCCAGTTGAATCTTATGGACTTGAGGAATGGATACCTTTGTGTCTCCATCACTTAGCGCAATAACTGGTACCATGTAAGTTCTCACAGAATTTTCCTGAACTCTCCAACCAGAGGCAACCTTTCACTCTCAATTCACATAACATTTCCTTCTTACTCCTCTTTTGGGAATAACACATCTTGCTTTAATTGTATTTATCTTTATGCCAGTTTAATTCTCTCTTTTAGATTCATTTACATCTTTGTATCCTCTAGCTCATTATTTTTTCAAAATAAAATGGATTCAAATAAAAAATTATTAAAGAGGTAAAGTAAAAGAAAATATTACAACCTGGCTGAGGGGCAAAAATTATATGTTCAACGTATATTTGATAATACATACTGAGAAAACACAGCCTACTTTTACTTTTCAAAAGTTTGTTCATGTTGACATTGTGGGACCTAGAAGATTTTTATCAAGTTTTCTATTTTTGCCAAGTCATATGATCTGTTACAGTTCAGCTAGAGTTAACCAAATGTAGAAAAAAAAAACAAAAAACTTCCATAATATCTAGTAATTCTCCAAAACAAGCTTGTTCCTTCCTTGTTGAACACTGACATTCTTTGGTAACTCTAACTTTATCCCACAGAGGTCATGTACTTATTTCCCATATGTTGTCCTATGCTTAAATTCCAAATTCAGTTGCATTGACTTTTAGAACAGCTTTAGGAACTGCACCTAGTTTTAAAATACATTATTTGTCTACAAATTATGACAAAAGATTAAACTGTCATCTTTGTAGGTTTCTACACATACTCCAACTCATTCACTAATCCTTGAAAAGATTATGTAACCAATCTCAATGCCCTGACCCAGGTCAAGCCCATTTCTACATGTGCAGTGTTCTCTGGATCTGATATTTAAAGCCCCTTATCCTGATACTACATACCTTTTTTGTCTTCTGGAATGCGCCTCTCTTCTCATCCTTTTTCAAGGCACTAGAAAAGCAGACCATTTCTCCAGCACCTCAAACCACGGTGAGAAAGCTCCACTCGAATCTCATCATTTTGGCTACGTAGATACATTGGCTCAAGGGAAGATGCCAAGTGTAGTACTCTACCATTCTGAGGATTTTTGAATCTGTAACAGTTGTGTCAACTGGGCCAATAATTATGAAGGGCAATAATCAAGAGTATCCATGCTGGCCGGACGCAGTGGCTCATGCCTGTAATCCCAGCACTTTGGGAGGATGAGGTGGGCAGATCACGACCGTGGTCAGGAGATCAAGACCATCCTGGCTAACATAGTGAAACCCCGTCTCTACTAAAAATACAAAAACAAAATTAGCCGGGTATGGTGGTGGGCACCTGTAGTCCCAGATACTCAGGAGGCTGAGGCGGGAGAATGGCGGGAACCCAGGAGGCAGAGCTTGCAGTGAGCTGAGATCATCCACTGCGCTGCACTCCAGCTGGGGCGACAGAGTAAGACTCCATCTTAAAAAAAAAAAAAAAAAAAAAAAAAAAAATCCATGCTAAAGAAGAAAAAAAGTTAGAAAAAAGGTAGAGAAAAATATTTACTGGAGTATTTGAACCCACCACTCTCAGATCAATTTTCTAGTGTTCTGTTGACTGAGCAACCAGTCAACAAACTTTCACTGAGAAGCTATTTTATAGTAGGCATTGGGATAGCCTTTGTGGACTACCAAGAAGCATATGTCTCTAACAGAAGACAAACAAGAAAATGTAAAAACAAGAAAAAGAAATTGAGGAATAAGGCTACAGTTTACAAAGCTACACAATTGTTCATTGTGCAAGGAGTGAGGCCTTAAGAAAAGACTTCCCTGTGAACTACAATGAGATGAAAAGGTTTCTCAGAGTGAGATTTGAACAAGAGTTTAAAGAACTGACAGACTGATAATAAGTTTCAGGTAGTCTAGAGGACTGAGTACTAAAACTCAGAACAATGTAATAAAAGCACAGAAGAGAAAGTTAGGATGTTTTACATGACGGTAGAACATTTAGGCTAAGCTGGAGGACTTGGGAGAACAAGTGAAGAAGGTAAGTTTTGGTTAGATAATAGGTGGCCTTTAGTTTCAGGATGAGGATTTGGAAGTTAATCTTTTGGTCAATGGGTAATAAATGATGGTATTTGTGTAGTTGAGCCAGTCGACAATGCTTTAACAACTTCAAAAGGCCCTGAAAGACATGGTCCTAATCCATAGGAAAAAATGAACTCCTGACTTCAGGACCCTAAGCTAGGAGGAGATTGGATAGACTCTCTTATGGCCCAACGGTATAGAAAATAGACCACTTCGGCCATCTCACTTATTGAGTAACCTTTCCTACCAGAAAATGCGCTATATATTATTTCTTTTCTTTCAATGGAAATTTTGGATTCTCAGTTATCTTTCCCTGACCTCTTGTCTGGTGATCAGAAAAAGATGACTAAACTGGGAATCTTAATTTTCTAGTGGAAAAAAAAACATGTATACCACATTTTATATAACTTTTAATTGGGTGTAAATTTGAACTCCAACATCATAAAAATTATTAGTAAAATTCATTTTAAGCACAAAGTTGTTAATTCCCCCAAGATTTATCAAGAATGGCTTAATTTCAAAGGCTGTCAAGTTAATTATAAACTAAGATTTTCCAGTTGCACCAAGGGCACATTTTATTTGGCAAAAGAAGCATCCACTGGCTTTTGTCAGGATGAGTCTTGAGTTATACAAGTTTTGAACTGAGAGGTCTTCAGAAATTCATCCCACATATTAACTGTGGCCTTCTCTACACCACAAATTCCCCTCCACTCATCCTCAAATTGTTTCCTTTCTCAGAACATCTGTGACACAAAGACTGTGACACACCCACAGGTCGATTAACCTGAGTACCCAACACCTATTAAAACATCCACACTCCTGAGAACACTAAAAACCAACCACCTCCTCAGGTCCCACCTCCAGTCTAGCTGAATCAGGAAACCTCAGGATAAGCACCTGGAAGCGGGTTTAACAAGCGCAAAGGTGATTCTTATAATTGGGAAAGTTTGTTACAGAACCAAGACACGGTCCTTGCCCTGGAGGAGGTATTTTCCTGTGGAGAAGGACCTGTAAACAGCCTATAAAGTGCTCAGCTTTCACCAAGAACAAAAACATGGACTGGTAGGGTTAAGGAAAAGTTTGATTGATATGAGGATTAAATCCTGAAGATTAGGGATGTCTTTGGGCGCTGGGGTCTCTCAATCGCCAAAGATCGACATTATAGGATAGGTAGCTTTGTCCCCCCGGCCTGTCCTGTGCCTTATGCCTAGCACTCCCGGCCTCTGCCCATTGGATACTTGTAGCACCCCACCTGACAACCCAAAACATCTATAGATATTGCCAAATACTCCACAGGGGGTGGGGGCGGTGGCAATATATCTCCCTGATTTAAGTCACTGGAATGGAAGTTAGGGGAGGATGGCTAAGTCAGGACTTGCAAAAAGGCTAAGGGACGAAAGCACATGGCTATATTCGACAAAGTTTGTGACAGACGCCTCTAGGTATATGTTTAAGGAAAACAGATTAAAACACTAAGAAATAGAGGTTGGACTGAGGGTTTCTCATCTGTATAGGAAATCTCATCTTGTTCATTACTTTCAGAAACGAAAAGGAAAACGACTTTGGAGATACAGGTTAAAGGTTGAAGGGGTGGGAAACCACCCCGTGCCTCCCTCCCTCCCTCCCTCCCTCCAAAACATCCCAGAACGATAGTCAAACCTTTCTAATCTCTTAGTACAGGTAACTAGCAACTCAGTGTAAGACTGGGCGAGGATGACGGAGGGCCAACTCATTACAGGAGTACAAGAAACTCCTTAGTCCTAAACCCGAATGCATCCGTGACCATGGTCACAATCCCCACCTGACCAAAAGCTATCCAACGCTCTGACAAGTGTTTACAGCTGCTATCTCGATTACTGAAGTGGCTCTGAAAAGAGCCTTTGGGGTAAGGTGGTTGATCTATTGCGTCCCTTACACACCCTTACTTCGAGCTGGTGTACTTGGTGACCGCCTTGGTGCCCTCGGACACGGCGTGCTTGGCCAGCTCGCCGGGCAGCAGCAGGCGCACGGCCGTCTGGATCTCGCGGGACGTGATGGTGGAGCGCTTGTTGTAGTGCGCCAGGCGGGACGCCTCTCCTGCGATGCGCTCGAAGATGTCGTTGACGAAGGAGTTCATGATGCCCATGGCCTTGGACGAGATGCCGGTGTCGGGGTGGACCTGCTTCAGCACCTTGTACACGTAAACCGAGTAGCTCTCCTTGCGGCTGCGCTTGCGCTTCTTGCCGTCCTTCTTCTGCACTTTCGTAACAGCCTTTTTGGAGCCCTTCTTGGGAGCAGGAGCGGATTTTGCTGGATCCGGCATTTTTGCGCGAAAAATGCAACAGAGACCGAAAGAAGTAATTCCCGACTACCACAAAACGGGCTGGTTACGCGCTACTTATAGAGCTTGTATGCAAATGAGGACTCACAAAGCGCTGCGTTTTTATTGGTTAACTTACAATGGTGTCGTCAGAGGGGGTGGAGTCTATGTAAATAATAGATTCTGGTCGTGCTTCCTTAGTGGTCACTGGAACAAAAGTCTTGTTATCCAATCAGAATAGTCCATTTCACGCTAGCCAGTTTTAAGCTAGGTGAAGCGATAGTTTCAACGGCTAGGGGTTTTTTCTTGGTTTTCACTTTCCATCACAGACTTGCATACGGAAGAAATCTTAACGCCAGCTAGACAAGTTAACTCTTCCCTTGTTTTTGCATTTTTATTCTATACTTTATGGAAATTTTGTTCTCTTCCTTGAAATAATACCTCAGCCCATATATTTTTAAAAATCGCCAGGTATTTACTCCCGCCCGCTTAAATTACTATTCTGGCTTGGGCACCGCCTGTAGTATGCAATGAGGAAGATGCTGAGCTTTAATTAAACTTATACACTTCTTAAATAAACCAGGAAACGGGTTTATAATTTTTAAGGGACTCGCCCCACCCTTACACTTAGAATCTTCCACATCTCGAAACTCCCCACATTGTCTCTTGCCGCCATGCAAAACTTGACCCACAGAATTGGGAGCCAGAGCTCTGGCCTTAAACCAGCGTGAAAAGGCAGGGTCGGCCGGAACCACAAGGACCATGCCTCTGTGGCTTTTTCTACCGCCAGCCAACTCGCGGCTGGGCTTTGGGTTCTGTAACGTCACCCACCACAACGAGTGCCCCTGGCCCCTGACCGGTGCGCAAGGCAGACGCACGCCAGATGGAGAGCCAGTACAGCTGCTCTTGATGAAAACGGCAGTGGCTCTGAAAAGAGCCTTTAGATCGACCACTTAAAAATATGCCTTAGGCCCGCTCCCCGCGGATGCGGCGGGCCAGCTGGATGTCCTTGGGCATGATGGTCACGCGCTTGGCGTGGATGGCGCACAGGTTCGTGTCTTCGAACAGCCCCACCAGGTAGGCCTCGCTGGCCTCCTGCAGCGCCATCACGGCGGAACTCTGGAAGCGCAGGTCCGTCTTAAAGTCCTGCGCGATCTCGCGTACCAGCCGCTGGAAGGGCAGCTTGCGGATCAGCAGCTCCGTGGACTTCTGGTAGCGCCGGATCTCCCGCAGGGCCACGGTGCCGGGCCGGTAGCGGTGCGGCTTCTTCACCCCGCCTGTGGCCGGCGCGCTCTTGCGGGCAGCTTTGGTGGCCAGCTGCTTCCTCGGGGCCTTGCCGCCGGTCGACTTGCGGGCAGTCTGCTTAGTACGGGCCATGCTGTATCATTGTTATGAGAGAGGCCAGGCAGTCTTATTTATAGACATAGCTTCGTCTTGATTGGGCATGAAAAGGAAATTTTCAAACTTGTTATCTCATTGGTTAAAATTCAATCCTATTTACCGGGGTGGAAGATTGTTCTGCTAATCTTTCTTCCCTTATTATTTCCCCCTTTCCCGATCCTTTTCTGTAATTTTATCGATCACGGGTTGTTTTTGAAACGTTTCCGTTAAATTGGTGTAACTTTTGTAAAAGCAATGTGTAAAGCGTTTTGCATCCCATTTTAACAGATTTTTTTTTCTCAGAATTCAACTATGGCCTTCTATGAGCTATCAGCCTATGTTTCAGGTTACCTGTTACTGTAGCTCTTCTACCATAGCTAACATTTCTTTCACGTCTGGCATTTTGCTCAGCAAGTTAGATGCATTATGTACCATGGATGACCAAAGCTTAGCAAAAAAAATATGTAACTGAAGGAATGAAAAGATTGAACTTATTTATTTGACCTCCCAACCCAGCCAAAGCCACTTCATCTGGGTAGTGTGCTGACCTATATTGACCTGATATTAGAGTCTCTGTCTTCCTTTAGTCTTTTCTGCCTGCGATGTGGTTCCCTCTTCCTCATCCTCACATCAATGACCAGTTAGGTCTTGCAGATGATAAACTTCTAAATCGAAGAAGGACAACACCAGAAATATTCATTTCTCCTTTACAATGTAGAATAGTTTGTAAATAAGTGCTTATTAGCCAGATTAAAAGTTAAAGTTTCAAAGCAAATTATTCATCAATTGCTGACTTGCAAACATTTTATTCAGTAAAGTGTTTTATAATGCTTAAAAGTTTAGTATTTTTTTCTGTTCTCTATGAAGAGAGTAAAGATGCTTTGCTTTTTCAATTTCATGTGCTTTGAAGTATGTATTGTTCAGAACAGTAAATATCATAATGGTTATATAGAAGTAACTGATAGTTAAAAGTTGTAGTAGTTAATATAAAACTTTTAATCATATGCTTATTTTACTTAAAAATCATTACAAGCTATAAAAACTCAAACCTGAGAAAAGCAGGCCCAAAAAGCTTAAAACTTACTTTGATGGTGTCATTATGAACTATCTTCCTACTGAAGTAAAAGTAAAGTAAAAGTGATTTTAAGGGGACTTCCTGAACACTAAACACAATGTAGAAGTCTGTTAGCTTAATTAATATCTTCAAGAGTCTCTCATGGGCAAAAGCATCTTCCTCTCGAGAGATCTAAAATGTACAAAAGTGTAACTGATGTGAACAAATGTTATTGCTCTCTGTGGTGGTTTTGTAATAATGCCTTACAGACAGTAGGTACTACTCAGTGTTTAAAGTTCTTCTGCATATACTTTATCATTTAATCCCTACTCTGTGAAATAGGTGTTACTTTTCTCGCTTTACAGATAAGAAAACTGAGTCTCAGAGAAATTATAGCTTGTCCTGGGTAAGTAACAAAGCCTGTGTAATATTCTAAAGCAAAAGAATGAAACTGTAATGATGAAACTTTCTATTTCATTAGGCTTAGAGGATACCTTTTTTTTTTTTTTTTTCTTTTGAGACAGTCTCACTCTGTCACCCAGGCTGGAGTACAGTGGTGGGATCTCTGCTCACTGCAACCTCTGCCTCCTGGGTTCAAGCGATTCTCCTGTCTCAGCCTCCTGAATAGCTGGGACTACAGGCGCAAGCCAACACCCCCAGCTTATTTATTTATTTATTTATATTTTTACTAGAGACAGGGTTTCACCATATTGGTCAGGCTGGTCTCAAACTCCTGACCTCAAGTGATCCACCCTCCTTAGCCTCCCAAAGTGCTTGGGTTACAGGTGTGAGCCCCACGTACCCAGCCAGTACATTTTAAAGCACAAAAGCGTTTTCCCACCATGCAATCACACCATCTAGTATTTCTCAAACATCTACACCCAACTCTTCCCATCAGAAGGGAACACTACCCCATGGAATCTGGATGATAGCCCAAAGCAGCCCACCCAAGCATCCCATTTCTTTGCAATATACTTTCTCTATGATGTATGCACTCTTGACCATAATGTATAGATGTGTTCATTTAAATAAGAAAAGGGCATTCAATCAGAAGAGTAAACTTCTAATGGCTATAGGTATCATTTCCGAGAATAAAACAATCAGATGTATAGTTGCCTTAGAAGTCATCTTTAAGAACAGAATTCAGATCAATTGTTAGTTCAATTTCACCTAGTCCCCACATTGGACACCAGAGTGACATTTCTGTGAAAGGTCTCAACCCACCACTATATCAGAAGCAGCTTTATGGTGCAAAAGAAGCTCTGCTTTTCTGGAGTTGTAACATAGAGGGAATATTCCTCCTAAAATTTTTGAACTGTCCTTCAGCAGAAATTATAAGGGTGTGCAGCTTGAATACTGAGAACTGGAATTTCATTAGGTAGCACGGGGGAATAGACAAGAGAAGATTAAAATTTACCTAACAAGAAATAAACAGGCAAAAGAAAATATTAATAAATGAATTATTAGGTACATAATATTTTGTATGTACATGTGTTTACTTTTAATACAAAAGTAACGGACTAAGTTAAGATAGATGTTCCAATAAGATAGTTTATGTTTCATTTTTGGCTTCAAGTACCCTCAGGGTTACAAGTATCATAAGCTGAGACCAGCTGAATTGTTGGTTTGTGGGTTGGTGTGCCTGATTTGATTTTTCTCTTGAATGGTCTGCAGCCCTGGACCAAGTTGAGGAACACTTGAGAGTGTCAGCTTTTTTCCTTACCCCATTATAAGTTAAACGCATTCCTTAAATATCCTGCTCATTTGATAAAACTTAGCACAGCACCCTTCTCCTTTCTACTGGTCCCTAATACTACCTGTACTCTACAACTCAAATTTTTTACAATTTCTGCCTTTATTATCTAACATATTCCACTGGAATATGTGTTACAGGAAAGGGGTCCCGATCCAGACCCCTAGAGAGGGTTATTTGATATCCGGCAAGAAGGAATTCAGGACCAGTCCATAAAGTGAAAGCAAGTTTATTAGGAAAGTAAAGGAATAAAAGAATGCTACTCCATAGAGAGAACAACTCTGAGGGATGCTGGTTGCCCATTTTTATGGTTATTTCTTGATTATATGCTAAACAGCGGTGGGGTGGTGGGCCACGCCTTTAATCCCAGCTACTCCGGAGGCTGAGACAAGATCACTTGAACCCAGGAGGCAGAGGTTGCAGTCAGCTGACATCGCGCCACTGCACTCCAGCCTGGACCGAGAATCCGTCCCCCGCACCCCGCCACCCGCAAAAAATCACTGCCAGTAAGGAACACACAGCCAAGATGGGGGAGTACTAAGATGTAAAGAGATGTAAAACAGGCCGGGTGCGGTGGCTCACGCCTGTAATCCCAGCAATTTGGGAGGCCGAGGCGAGCGGATTACGAGGTCAGGAAATCGAGACCATTCTGGCTAACACGGTGAAATCCCGTCTCTACTAAAAATATAAAAGAAAAGAAACTAGCCGGGCGTGGTGGCAGGTGCCTGTAGTCCCAGCTACTTGGGAGGCTGAGGCAGGAGAATGGCGTGAACCCGGGAGGCGGAGCTTGAAGTGAGCCGAGATCTCGCCACTGCAGTCCAGCCTGGGTGACAGTATGAGACTCCGTCTCAAAAAAAAAAAAAAAAAAAAGATGTAAAATAATGTGATACATTCTGCGAGAGTTACTAGAGAGTCAGAAAAGGGCAAGAGTGTTTCTTCTCTGCCCTGAAGCAGCCAAGGGAGAAGAAGATATCTGTTGCCAACGCTGGGGTGTTACAGGTGCACACTGCCATGCCCCGCTAATTTTTTGTATTTTAGTAGACACAAGGTTTCACGATGTTGCCCAGGCTGGTCTCAAACTCCTGAGCTCAGGCAATCCACCCGCCTCGCCTCACAAAGTGCTAGGATTACAGGCATGAGCCACCACGCCCGGCCTATATATGTATATTTTTTCTAACACATACTTTTTCTTGGTGCCAACAATGTTTTAAACACTTTACATGTATTAACTCATTTTATCTTCACAAAACCCTATCAAGTAGGTAGTATAAGTATGTCCATTTACAGATTGGGACATGGAGGAATCACAGAGAGGTTAAGAAACTTTCTAATAGTCACACAGTTGGTGCCAAACCAGGTTTCAACTCCAGAGTCTCCCTTTAGTCACTATTCAACACTACTAATATCAAAGAAGTAAGATGTTGATGCAGCATTTATAGTAATTTAAAAGATTAGAAATAACCAACAGCCGGGGTATAGTGGCCCATGTTTGTAATTCCAGCAGCTTGGGAGCCCGAGGTGGGCAAGTTTGTTGGGAGCTGGAGACCAGCCTGATGACATGGCAAAACCCTGTTTCTACAAAAAATATAAAAATTAGCTGGACGTGGTGGTGCGAGCACTTGTAGTCTGAGCTACTTGGGAGGCTGAGGTGTGAGGATCGCTGGAGCCTGGGAGATTGAGGCTGCAGGCTGCAGTGAGTTATGATCACACCACTGCACTCCAGCCTGAGCAACAGAGACCCAAAAACAAAACAAAACAACCTCTGACAATGTAGGAATGCTGAAATGAATATTAATTCTAAGTAAAAACTCAACCTATCCCAATTAGCCCAAGACCACTACTTAGTCTACCTAAGCCAAGTTTGTTGACTTGTTACAATGAGGGAGAACACACAACAGAGAAACTGGTGGCAGGGTGATGGGAGGAGGGTGCTCACCAAACAAGTGGAAAATTGGACTTATCATTGATTTTGGGAGAAGAGTGGAGTGTAGTTTTCATAGGCTCAAAGCAAAGCAGGGCTGTGTGAAAGGGTAGGCATAGGATGGGACTTTGAAGTGGATCCAGGGTCTTGTTTCCTTGGAAACTACGAA